GATTTAAAAAAAAAAAGACAGTGCAAAGAAAAAGAAAAAAAGACACCCCCCCCCGCAAAAATAGTAGGAAGAAGAAACTTCCCTCTTTATCCCCAGCAAGTATATACAACATTAACAACTTATCACTGTCTCTTAAAATACCACGAAATACATCTTCATTCCATACTTCACCCCATTTTCTATAAGCCCGTCTCTAAATCCTCAGCTCTCCTTATTAATCCACAAAAGGTGTAAAGATTAACAGACTTAACTAGCAGTATACGCGTTTAGTCCTCCTTTCCGTTTAATCCCCCTAATCCCTCTCTTAATAATCAAAATCTCATCCCCATTAACAATTAAGCATTACAAATGAATAAAAAAAATAACCACTAATCATCACCCGAGATAGCAACCCCTTATTAAACTCTCCCAAGGTGATTCTCACAGCCCATTACAGGAACATCACCAAGGGATCCCTGGGGGTTAGGACAAGGCCCATGGGTGGAAGCTTTTAGAGGGAGATCCAGACTCAAGATCAAGAGGAATTTCCTGACTGGGAGAGCTGTGAAGCAGGGGAACAGCTGCCTCCTGAATCATGGGAGCTCCATCACTGGAGGTTTTCAAGTAAACATTGTCCAGGATGGTCTGAAGGTTCCTGCCCTGGGCAGAGGCTGGACTAGAAGACCTTCAAGGCCTCTTCCTACCCTAGGATTCTAGAGTCATTGTTCCTTTCATATGAATGAGAAATATGAACATTCCGACATGCTACTAACATAAGAGGGACACTTTCCATTGCAGTCAGCCTTTTAAAAAAAAAAAAAAATTAAGAAACAAGGCAGACATTTTTCCCCAGATCAAGGATGGAAAGTGATACCCTAACAAGGATTACCTGAATTATGTTTAGGACAGTGCCCAGCGGGCAACACCTGGCTGATCTCTAAAAGCTAAGCAGAGTCAGACTGGGTTAGTACTTGAAAGAGAGACCACTAGGAAATGCCAGGGCTCTAGGTTGGACGGAGAAGTCAAAGAAACATTCCCCAGACAAGGCAGTGGCAAACCACTACAATGAGGCGTAATGGTTGAGGTGTTCATCCAAGGAGATCCAGGTTCAAGTTCAGCCTCAATCACAGAAACCTGGCAGGGTGAGACACTTCCTCACTGCCCAAGACATCTGGAAAGCATCAGGCTGGGTGTCAGCCCTTTGAGGTAGGCCAGATCAGGAAACTGACTCCACAAGAAATGCTGGACCTCTTATTGAGAGAGTCTTGAAAGCCTGACGGCATTTCCCTTCCCTCCCTCTTATCCCAAACAGAATCAAACTGGGTCACTCTGAGTTTCTTTCTAACTCCTTTTTCCTTTCTGGGGCTTCATTCATGTTTTGCCAATGGCCTTGGCGTAGTTTTTCCAAGGTCCTCTCTGTGGTTCTCTGTCTGGGGAAGCTGTCTGTAAGGAGGGCGCTCTGCTTCTCATAGCTTGTCCATCTCACTCACCTTCGGGGGATAATGTAAGTTGAGAGATTGGTAGAGGCGAAAATTGACAAAGCCCAGGAGGGTGGTGTAGAATTCAGTGAAAGTAGCCATTACTCTATAATCCACATCTGTTGGGTGCTGGAAGGCAGGAAGTTTAGTTTAGTTTATTATTATTGATTAGCCATTAGGACATATCAAGATATAGAGTATAAAACATATAAAATATAAGACCGTGTTTTATGTTTTAACATTATTAAGACCATGTATTAAAAATAGGGTAAGAGAAACAAATTAAAATTAAAAGAAAAAAAGATGGAAATCATATTTCTGTATCACCCCTACAATTTACTCCAATCAGATCCACATATACAGATCTCAATTGTGCTGTTTTGTTCAAGTAAAGGGCTATATTATATGTAATTTTTGAATTCTGACCGCACATTAAATATGTTGCTTTAATATAAGGATCCCCATAGATCATTCATCTTCTTGGAAGGCAGGAAGTGAGTCAATCAATCAGTTTGCACAAATTTTAAAAAAACAACTCTCAGTTCTATTTTCTTGTAAACAGGAATATTAAAAAAAAAAAGGTAGAAAGTGTTGGATAGATAGCTAAAAAGGAAGTTGGAATACAGCCAGTATGAGTGATACACCCCTGTATTATCTCAGGTTGCCAATTTCGTCAGGCAAAACTGTGCCCGTGTTTATAGGGTAGCTTACCTGACTGCGTCATGGGAACGTGTCCAGAGTCACTGGGAGTCAGGCAGTATATAAATTTAATAAATAAATGAATAAATAAACGAACACACACGAAATGTAAAGATACTATCTGCATCAGCAAGGTGTCACCTTCACGTTTATGGTACGTGGGGAGAAAAGTCCCATTTCAAAGCTATCCTTCCCGGATCAGGTTGGAAGTCTGATAGCTGTCTCAAAAAGGTTGACATTTTACGGGCAGCAGAAACCTTAACAGGTTCTTTTCTAATGGCCCCAAACAGGCGAATTGCTTAGTTAATAGATGGGGAGGAAAAACAAATAAAGGCACTTAATGTTTTTAGCTTGCAGCAAATGGAAATAGAAAAGTATATAAAATCACGCCTGGCATGGAAAACGGGGGTAAGGAACAGGTTTTTCTTCTCTTCCCCCAAGGTTAGACCTCCAGGTCATCCATAGAACTAAATCCCGAGAGATTCAGGAATGGCAAAAGACGCCACTACCAGAAGTGATGATGGCCTTAAAGGGGACTGGACTAATCCGTGGAGATCCAAACAGCCTTAGTGGTTGTTCCTTGGTCTCTTAAAAGCCAGCTCTCAGGGAGCAACAATGGAAGAATTATCCTCCTTTCCACAACTGTACACTTCCTGAGCACATCTGGATGGCTGGACTCATCCAACAGGGCTCCTCTTATGCTCTAACGCTCTATTCAAATAAATGCAAAGCTCAACTTTGGAATTATTTTTACTGGAACACATAAACTTAACGAAAGTGGCACATACTTTATATTAGAGTTCATTTCTACTCAAAAAACCCCGAACCAATCATGACAGAAAATAAAATTCTAATTTGAGTGTGTCTCTACAGATTTGTGCACAAGGGATCAATGACTTCCTACAGTCATTTTTGAAACTATCAGTTGCAAAAACTGATTTTACCAGGGACGCAGAGAGTCCAGTTGCTGAATTTTATTCATATTCTGTCCCTCAGTAGATTGCTGATTTATGAATTCAGGAATCCCTTTTCTTCCCATATAAATTTCCACTGCTGCTTATCTTATCACTAATCTTTCCCATCTCAGAATACCAGACACCAAGTCATGGATTTTCTGCAGACGAAGTGACTTAAAAGTTTGACTAAATAGGATTACTTGGACGACTGCTAGAGCAACAGAAAAACCCAGATATAAATAATTTTATGCCTGCAATACTGACATCCTAAAATGCCATTAATGTTGATAGAATTTTTACTTCTGTTTTCTTATTCTCAATACTTTAAGCTTTCTAAATAGAATGTTTATAATTTACAACCATATTACATCAATGTGATTGCATTGAAATAATACAATTTATCAAGATTTATAACATTACAATAGAAGGGAAAAAATATGTACAGGCACAGGACAGGGATATCTGGACTGGTAATCATATTTAAGAAATAAAATATAAAGTTAAAAAAAAAAAGACAAACCAAGAGGTATGTTAGGTAAATAAATGATGGTCTATA